TTCTGATAGTTGACAGCCCTAATTTTATCATGTCCCAATTTTAATATTTAATATGATACGCTGGTATGTTATTTGTTTTTAAAAGGAAATGATAGAAATAACAGAAAATCGAAATTTTTGATGAAACATTTTACTAATATTATAAATTAGCTGTCGCCCGCGACTACGTCCGCGTGGATATATAAAAAAAACTTAATTAGTGTAGCCCACCCATCCATCAATCAACATCCATCTAAACATTCGCCTTTATAATATAAGTTAAATAAAAAGCAGCTCTTCATGGCATAAATTCGAAAAAAAAATGAATAAATAGTATCCTATGTCCGTCTCCTGGCTCTAAGCTACCTCCTCAACAATTTTCAGGCATATCTGTAAAGCCATTCTTGAGTTATAAATAGTGTAACTAACACCACTTTCCTTTATATTTATAAGTTGTGAATGTTTGTATGGACGAGGGCGACAGTAATATTATAAATGCGAATATTTAGATGGATAGTAAGAAGGTATCTCCAGAACCGTTCAACGTATGTCGATGTTTGTCATACATATAGATCATGGTCTGGAAGAACACATAGACTACTATTTAATTCCGTGCAGATAGAGTCGCGTGCGACAACTAGTATCAAAAGAGGCCATAAAACTGTATAAATATGATTTATATACTTGCATCAGTCATTTCATCAAAGATTAGATATACATAATATATCTGTCAGATTGTTTATCTGTGCCGATAATGGATGATGTGAATATTTTTCTTCAAATTTCGAATCAAAGAACTTGTCTTTGACAATTACGTTTAAGAATATTATGAAAAAAACTGTCACTTTGCCGTTGCCCATAGACATACGCAACTGCATATGCGTTGCCTACCTTTAATCGACGGAGGAGAGGATGCACAGAAAGATATTTTCCCGTTCAATGCATCCTCTCATCCGGAAAGTCAACTTCCACTTCCCATCCTATCCTTATAAGAAAATGGGTGGGAAGGGAAAGAGGACTAAATTAAGCTTCTGGAATATTTTTCGATAATTTTGGATATTGCTTTTTCACACAAAGTCTGAGTACAGCACTAGGTGAATCATAAAATTGGTACCATTTTGACAGATGATTTGTCATTCCAAATAAATATTGATAAGATATAATATTATCTATGGAAACTAGAAAATTGATGAAAATATTAGTCAACTTTATCTTATATAAATGCGAATGTTTAGATGTATGTTAGAAGATATCTCCGGAACTGCTGAATGGATCTTGCTGAAATTTGTCATACATATAGAACATAGGCTAGTAATTAAAGTTATTTAATTCCGAGCTGACGGAGTCGCGGGTTACATCTGTAATATTTATAATATTAAAATTTGTTATAAAACAAAACGTCAAAATATGACGTATACATTTTTTTTAATTTTATGACCTGGTAACATAGACCTTTAGGTCATATCTTATTTGGAAAATATTAATTACTTTGGATTCACTTAAATTCGTCGTTTAATGACGTATACATGTTTTCTAATACCCATAGATAAGGTAACTACGTCATGGGAAAATGCATAGATTAGTTAACGTAGACGCGACATAATAAAATTATAAACAACGCAAGCGATATCAACTTGAATTCGTTAATTTCACTGCAAACACTTACATTATAGAACTAAAACATTAGCTTAGTTTTGACATTAACAGAGACGCGCTAGTGAACTGTCAAAATTGATTTTGACTTTTGAATAAAAAACTGTTAATTTATGTCTCTGTTTAATTAAAAAGTCTGGATGACTGAGCTTTGCTCAGTATATTTTTTTTAAATTGTGTTTTTTGGAAATTATATTTAAGTACGAATTACTAATAAAATGATGAAATGTGAATATTTTTCGATTTAACCGATAGAAAAAGTTAAGTTTACGTTTAAGTTGATTATCGATAAAACACGAATAAAATGACATTATCTAAAAATGATTCCTAGCTAGATGGATTTATCGCCCCCGAAACCCTCTATATACTAAATTTTATGAAAATCGTTGGAGCCGATTCCGAGATTCCAATTATATATATACAAGAATTGCTCATTTAAAGATATAAGATAAAGAGAAAAGGATATATACTTTATTAAAATATCAATTAGTTAAGTGTATTGTAAAATTAATACTCTAACCTAAAGGTCGTTAGACAATGGAAGTTTATAACAAAGACGCATCGGATAACAAGAGAACGTCTTTGACGTTGTAATATCTTGCAATTAACTTGAAATTCACGACTGGAATAACTATATAAAGAAAACTGTTTTATAATACACTAGCTTTCACCAGCGAATCCGTCCGCGTGGATATAAAAAAACTTAATTAGTGTAGCCTATGTGTTCCTTCAGACTATGTTCTATATGTATGACAAATTTAATCGAGATCCGTTCAGACGTTCTAGAGATATCTTCAAACACCCATCCACATCACATCCATCTAAACATTCACATTTATAATATTAGTAAGTTAAATAAAAAGCAACTCTTCAAGACATAAATTCGAAAAAAAATGAACAAATAGTATCCTATGTCCGTCTCCTGGCTCTAAGCTACCTCCTCAACAATTTTCAGGCATATCGGTAAAGCTATTCTTGAGTTATAAATAGTGTAACTAACACCACTTTCTTTTATATATATGGAAAGATATTATAATAACGTTCCATATGTAGATTTAAATGACATTCTTATGATGAAGGAAAAAATCGTGATACTGCAAATATCTGCGAAGAAATTCAAAGATATGTGTGAAGTCATTCCGCACTGGTCCTTTACTATGGCTTAGGATAAAAAATACTATGAAATATATAAAAAAAGGTCTTTTTCCCTTCTTTCTAATTCACGTATCTAATGATAAAATAACATTGTTTCTTGTTCGGTGTATAACAAGATATGTCAACATATTGGAGAACCTTGTTATAATAGCAAGTATAAGTTTGAGAAAGTTTGCTATGAGAATTTATGTAGGCGCTCGATACGGAAAATAAATTGTGTCAAGAACCAAAGTTATGTATTCGAATCATCTTTATTTAGGTTAAAAGGTTTTTTTTAATGTTTTTAAAGGAAGTATGCTAACAAATTATTTAGTTCAACATTCATTATGCTGTTAATTAATTGAGGTTATATGTTGTATGTAAAATAATATATGTTTTATTAAAACACATCAGACCGTAGGCGATTTAATCAAGTTTAACATTGTTATAAATTTAGAATGTTGGCTATGGTTTAAATTTTAATCTATGGTAAAAGGGGCGTATATGGGGTTATGTGTCAGCGACCCGAATTCGTTGTGGGATTTTGTCCGTTATCTATATAATATGACAAAGTTATCTTGCATGTAGAGACGTCCTCATCACGATTCTGTTAGAAAATATGTAGAAACCACGTATAGTTTTTTTATTATTCTAAAATCCTATGAAAGGAAAATAATTATGTGATAAATTCATTTGTCGATATAACCAATATTATATTTATGTAGGTTACCATTACCGCTTTGTAAACAGTGCACTTTGTTTACCATTGTACAAAAAAAGCAATGTATACTGTACTGCCGTATTTTCTCTCTAGCCTGAGCATTACTGCGGCGTTCTGTATAAAGCCCCACTGACCTATTTCCCCCTTACGCAGTGTGACGTCATCACAGCATTGCGCTACCGCGTGCCCGCAATATACTAAGTAAAGTCGACTCTATGCTAAACATTTTAAAGTCGAAAATCGTTAGAAATGACTTCCGGATTAAAAGTGACAGGGGAATTTAAACTTTATGTAAACGACTTAAGGTTAAATTTGCTGTGTGCTTATATCTTAACCTTTTAAGTATGTTCCAATACAATACAGGTAGGCGTTTTATTATTTTTTCCTCTTTCATAACATTTTAAAGGTTAGGCTTTAAGGGTGTTTATTTTTTTTTTCGGTTTTATGCACCAAAGAGTTTTGTTTAATTTAGTGTGCCAGTTTTGTTAAATAGATTGACAAAAATAACACGAAAATAACTCACGCCTATAACCCAGAGGGATAGATAGAGATTTAATTTGGTGCCCACGTACCTTAACTCCCGCCATCCTAACGTCTAAATACACTTTGGTTACCTTTTAATACCACAAAAACTCCTTTTTCTAAGGAATGAATGGAACGGGGAAGTGGATTCGTTGGAGAAGACGCATAGGAAGGGAAATATCCTATTTCTGTGCGACCCTTTTTCCGTCTTTATCTGTGGATGTCTATGGGCAGATGCTTGCTTATTCCCTTCCTCTGGTATTGCTGATGTCCATGGGCGTCGTTGAACACCTCGGTGTTCCCGCTGCTCGTTTGCCCCCTTCTGTTATAAAAAAAGTACCTGAATGACCGAGCTTTGCTCGGTATTTTTTTTAAATTGTGTTTTTTGGAAATTAAATACGAATTACTAATAAAATGATGAAATATGAATAATATTTTTCGATCTTACCGATAGAAAAAGTAAATTTATGTTTAAGTTGATTATCAATAAAACACGAATAAAATGACATATTCTAAAAATGATTCCTAGCTAGATCGATTTATCGCCCCCGAAACCATCTATATACTAAATTTTATGAAAATCGTTGGAGCCGATTTCGAGATACCAATTATATCTTTATATATATAATTCTTCTGTGCGTGTGTATGTCACTGAACTTCTCTCAAGCGACTGGACCGATTTTGATGAAATTTTTTGTGTGGTTTCAAGGGGATCTGGGAATGGTTTAGATTCACAATTTTGTCCGCTGGACAATGTTTTTTTAATTAATTTTTAATTTATTAGCAGTTGTTGATTTTGGAATGTTTTACATTGGATACGACAGACGGCGCTACCATCGCAGTGTCAAATTTTAAAGAATATTCGAATTAAAGACGTGTAGACAGAACAACGTCTGTCGGGTCCGCTAGTATATATATATATATACAAGAATTGCTCATTTAAAGATATAAGATGTGGGTCATAATAATAATGTTTTCTTTTTTGTTTTAGGAGAGAGGTGGATTAGACAACATGAGATCATTGGAGCACTATCTAACAGATATCATGCGTGCAGATACATCCGATCACATGAAAGGTAAGTAATAGAAATAAAGATCATCATCAGCTCACTATACGTCCCCACCGAGGGGCTCGGAGCATACCCTAAGTTAAGGGTGATTAGGCCATAGTCAACCACGCTGGCCAAGTGCAGGTTGACTTCACACATATCTTTGACTTTCTGAGATATGTGCACCATCACGATGTTTTCCTTCACCGTAACAACGTCGGATAAATGTACATATGTAAATCGGAAATCGAAAAACACATTGGTACATGGCGGGATTCGAACCCAGGACCTGCAGATTGCAAGTCAAGTGCTTGACCCTTGAGCCACCAACGCCTCAGAGACGCCTCGCCTCGAAATAAAGTTAGTTTATATATGGACAGGCTATAATCCATTATAATCTGTGCCTATTTGAACTCCGTCATTTTGGCGCTAACGGTTGTGGTTGGTAGTAGTGACGATACGAACTAATAATAGAGAAACTGACAAGAACTGCATCAGGTGCGTTTAATTAGCTGTCAATTATAAACAATGGCCTATCTATTTATAGAAATCAGTGGATTTCATATAATCTCTCTCTGTCGCACATTTGAATGCGTTTGTATATCGCGCTAAATATCAAATGCATAAAGACAAGCTCCAGTAAATGAATATTCCTAGGCATCAACATCTGTTCACTATACGTCCCCACTGAGGGTCTCGGAGGCTACCCTAAGTGAGACTATGTGATAGTGAATGCTGGTCCAGTGCAAGACTTCACACATTTGACTTTCTCAGATATGTGCAGCATCACGATGTTTTCCTTCATCGTAACAACATAGGGTACAGTACATATGTAAATTTAACACATTGATATATGACGGGATTCGAACCCAAGATCTGCAGATAGGATACTTTATTTCTACGGTCGTTATCTTACTAATATTATAAATGTGAATGTTTAGATGTATGTTTGTTAGAAGATATCTCCAGAACAGCTGCATAGACCCGCTGAAAATTGGCATAAATATAGGACTTATTCTGGAAGAACACATAGACTACTAATTTTTTTTTAATTCCGCGCACACGGAATCGCTGGCGACTAGTTAAATATATATCCCAGGGTATTCGTCTTGTTTATTCTGTCGACCCCGTTATGTCATATAACCAATATATTACTTTAACTATACGCTAAGTAGGAAGTCACGGTAAATTAACACTTGTTTGTCTGTCCGTGTGTTAGTTACCTATCGTATACAATATAATGTAGGTTCATATATTATAATTTTGGTTTTTAATTTTTTTATTAATTAGCTAACGTCCGAGACTCCGTCAGCGCGGTATTTAAAAAAAACTTAATTATTAGTCTATGTGTTCTTCCAGACTATGTTCTATATGTATGACAAATTTCATCAAGATCCGTTGATCCGTTTCAGAGATATATTCAAACAAACATCCATCTAAACATTCGCATTAGCAATATTAGTATGATTACCAGCGCTATTAACCGTGGCATTAAAAGTTGATACTATAAAAATATTGTTTTTTCAATTTTTTTCACAGTAAACGAGAGGGATGGTCATATGTTTTTCATTTCGGTAATATAAGATGCATGTTAATTGTGAAACATTGTCGACCGTGCAGAGTACACTGGATTGCAAAACACAGTGACAACTCTGTCGCGATGTACACTACATTGCAAAATAGGTGGATATAAAGTCACTAGATGTGACCACAATTAAATAAAAAAAATCTTATTGTCAACACAATTAGTGTGCGTCCCGGAAGCCTAATTTTAGTCCTCTTTCCCTTCCCACTCTTTTTTTCATAAGAAAAGCATGGGAAGTGGTAGTAGACTGTTCGGATGAGGGGATGCATGGGAAGGGAAAATATTTTCTTTCTGTGTATCCTCTTATTCATCGATCACTTGACTTGGTAACGAAAGCGCGCTATTCGCGAGAAAGGATCCTAACTAATAATGTTAAATGTATAATTTCTCTAATTCTTGAATATAAATATTACTCGATACTTTTCAACTACGCTCTGTCGCTTCCAGTATCTATATAAACGTAATGCGCTTACGCAACTTATTGTGGCCCAGCCTTTTGTGTCAAAGGCCTTGGACAGGTTGTTAGCGGCTCTGTTTCTCTGTCACATTGTCTATGCATATTCATATAACGTATGATAATACTAGAGTAACTTAAAGATAAAAGGGCAATGTTTTTTACGAATACAGACTAACAAAATATAGAGGGGTACATCTGTAGGGGAAGACTTAAGAAGAAATGAATAAGTGACACAGTTTTTTTATATCATAAGGTGGCAAACGAGCCAACCACCTGGAATCGCTGAAATAGCGAAGTGATCGTTACCCATAGACATACGCAATTGCATACATTGCCTACATTTAATTGACGTAGGAGACGAACAGAAATAAAATATTTTCCTTTTCCGTGCATCCTCTCATCCGGAAAGTCCACTTCCACTTCCCATAATTTCCTTAGCAGAAAAAGGGTGGGAAGGGAATGAGGACTTAAATAAGGCCTCCGGAACAAACAGATGAGACGAAACGCGGATTTTCTTCCATTTGAGGCGTGTCTTCTGTGTGGTCGTGGTATTGCACTGAGCAAGGCTAATTCGTGCGATGATTAAAGCGGGCTCTACCACTGTTAAACGACGTTACGACTAAGATGACATAAAATCCATTTAAAGGAGAGACTGTCGTTACAAGAATTAATCTACGTACAGGGTAATAGACCGACTAAATCTTTGTCGGTAATTAATGTATAAAACCTACTTAAGCATAGAAAATGGTACCAAAACAAGATATGACAAGACAGTTTCGGTACGACAAGGACCGTTTTTTTATCTATTTGTTGTCAATAGATCGAAGGATATGAAGTTTTTTTAATTCCATTTGGGTAAAGTCGCGTGCTGTAGCTACTTAATTTAGAAGTTTACGAAATGCTACCAAATCATTAGTAAAGTTGATCAAAGATTTATTGTCCTAATAAATATCGTTTAAAATAACAAAACGCATCTTAACACGTCTGACATTTTCAGTTTGGCGCGCGGCGTGTACCACAGGTTATAAATAACTCGGGGCATAGACGAAAATTGTTTCTAAATAGATCGCCTCGTGACTGCAATTATGATGACAATGAATTCCTTGATTACGGGATAATTGGAAAAAGAAATTAAAGTATATAATACGAAGAGGGCGTAAAGGCATATAATCTCTTTTTATCTTCTTCTGTTATGTTTTTTTAATGGACAGTAACACATCTGTTTTACCTTGACGTAACTATGTTAGACATACCAGATAATAGAATACTCAACTAGTATTTAAGGCACTGACTTCTGTCAATGGACTGGTTATAAGACGTAGTGTTTTGTGCGTATTTGATTTTCGCCATTTTGGCGGTGATGGTAGTGGGTTTTTAACAGTGGTGTGGATTTAAACTATTAATATAGATAGAATTAGCTTAATTAAATTAGGTAATTTAATCAAGCGTGTTAAAATCGGAACGTAGTTGCCTTAAAAGCTATTATTTTTAAGTAATCGCCTACACATTTATAATTTCAGTGGTTTAAAGCGATACCAAATGTTTGCCAACTTTTCGTTTACATATAACAGATATATGATTGCTTCTCGGGCGAAGATCGTGTAACTAATCTCACTAATATTATAAATGCGCAAACTTAGATGGATGTTTGTTGGAAGGTCCCCGGAACGTCTCAACGGTTTTTAATGATATTTGGCACAAACTTAGAACATAGCGTCCCGGAGGCCTAATTTAGTCGTCTTTACCTTTCTACTCTTTTTTATAAGAAAAGCATGGGAAGTGGAAGTAGACTTTCCGGATGAGAGGATGCATGAAAATGTTTTCTTACTGTGCATCCTCTTCTCCGTCAATTAAAGGTAGGCAACGCATATGCAATCGCGTATGTCTATGGGCAACGGTCACTTCGCTATTTCAGCGATATCAGGTGGCCACAGACTCGTTTCCCACCTTATGATATAAAAAAAATAGTCTGGAAGAACACATAGGCTACTTACTAAGTTTTTTTTTCTTTCGGCGCGGGAGGAGTTTTGTGTGATAGCGAGTGTTAAATTAAAGCAAGAAATTTCTTTTCTAATAGTTAAATGTAGTTGTACTTAAAATGCATTTAGCATAGAACTGAACGGTTATTATGTCTAGTAAAACCTATTTACATAATAATCTGAAAAGGAAATGTCCCAATTAGTGGTAATTTATGGACCCCTTCCCGCGCAACTGCTCGGAAAATGAGAGCCGGCCATTTTGTATGCTCACCTTTTTACTGAATGAATGTAAAACGCGTGCGAGTCGTTTTCAATTTAGTCGCATTATAACAGTAAATATACTGATAATTTCAGAAGGCGATAACATTTCGGTATTGTGTTTTGTTTTTAATATGACAGAAGCGTATTTAATCTATGACAATAGATTTACGCTACAAATACGATGAATTTAATATTATTTTTAAGGCACAGTTTACACAAAACAAAACTATTTGATTTTTCTTTTATTAAACTTAATTATTAGACTATGTGTTCTTCCAGACTATGTTCTATATGTATGACAAATTTCGTCAAGATCCGTTCATGCGTTCTGGAGATACCTTCAAACAGACGTCCTTCTAAATTTGCGCGTTTATAATATTAGTAAGATAGCTAAGGAGTAGAACAAGTTACTTTTATCAGTATTTCCGTCCAAGTATGACATGGGTGCATCGACCTTTATGGATAGGCTATAAACCTTGGTAATTTGTGGCTATTCGATTTTCACCATTTTGTTGCCGATAGCTTTTACTAGCGTTGGTGATGATTCTAACCTCTAATAATAGCAAGAGAATTAGCTATAAGTAACAAAGTAAAAGTTATCAAAGCAATTACTAAGGCATTTATCTATTTATAGAGATCAGTGCCTTCAAGAGTAGAATAGAATCATTCGCGGTTCTGTGGCAATGGGATCAAAATCGAGAGATAATTTTTTGTTTTAAATTAATTATTATTGCCTTAACTGTCT